TTAATCGCTTTACTTTTGGATGTGCAGGAGGCTCGTATGTCATCTGGAGTGGAGGTCATGATATGTCATGCTGAGAACTTGACTCGTCACTTGGAGCGAGTACGAGAGGACCTCAATGATCTTCGTATGAAGGAACGGCTGGTTGCTGACGAAAGTGCTTCACCTGGAACTTTAGCAAATGGTCCTACACGACTTGGTAATAGATAATGGAGTTAGAACCTTGAACTGTTTTGTACTTGCACTTAGATTCTGATTTCATTTTTATGATCATGAAACTTTCAACAAGTTATGGCGTTGTTTACAACGTGAACTTCAAGACTTGAAGATTCCTTGACACCGATATCAGTACACAACATGGACTTAACTTGAGCTGCTTGTTTTGTGTGGAACATTTAGTCATTGCTGTTATTTGTCCCTATTATATTCACGAGTTTCTTCATTTATTTACGTTGAAATGCTTATATTTAGTAGTATCACCCGGTTATTCAATTTAAATTTTAATTAGTTTAAATTCTCATATGAACACGGGTAAAAAATTTTCTGTTCAAATCCTTGTTCGCTTCCTCTTCGTTTATTTTGTTTATTTATGTTTCATCATTTCTCCGTTTATTTGTCTGTTTCTCACTTGATTTTAAAGGTATAGATTCCCAAACGGTTAGCAGTCCTTCATCTCCACTTCCTCACCAAGTAAGAATTTTTCTTACCAAAATCTTTGACTCTATTTATTTACGTTATTTTCGTCTTCTTTTCCTACCTTTTTCTCTCCGTGAAGGTAATATAAATTGATAGATTTTTATTTTCGTTTGCTTATGCTTCACTCCGATTTGCTTTATACTCATCTCAAGAACTTATCTTTATTTTCATTATTTTTCATTATTTTTTGTTTTGTTGCCCTCTTACCCATCATGACAAACATTATTTAGCAATCTTTGTTTGTTTTCCCAGCTGTCACATTCCTCACCAAAATAAAATTTTAATTCTGTATCCTAGTCTGAAGGAGGAGGCGATGGTACTAAACAGAACAGCCTTCTCAATTTTGTCATGGCCTTTCACACTACATCGATGCGGGCAAAAGAAGCTCTCCGAAGCTTCCGACGTCGCACGGAGGCCAGCAGACAAGAACGGGAAGCTTCTGCATCCCCCGTGCGCCAGACTGAAGAGCCGTCAGGGAAGAAAATGGATTCGTCTCTGACAGAAAGTATGCCAGAAGCTGAATCCAGTGGCACTCCGGTAGTAGTTGTGAGTGACTCCGAAGGAGAAAACGACAACATAAACACGGAACTAAGGGAAGGAACACAGGATGAACATGAAGATGAGATGGTTACTGTCCATCTCCCGGCAGAGTCTGAAGGGAATGACCAAATAAAAGATGCTAGTGAAAACGAAAGTGAAAGTGACGTATTAGACTCAGAAGTCAATTCATTTCAAGAAACGTAAGTGAATACTCTTGTTTG